AGGATCATCTGTCTGTCAGGAGCTCTTCCTACACTCGAGTAGGACCCTGGTAGAGACACATGCCTGACTGAAAAGTTCTCTCCCTCCTGGTCGATCGTTCGGGAGCTTCAAAAGCTTTCTTCAACCCAAACATCACAGCGACCGATGCCAGCAGACATCAGCACACTTAGGGATCTGCAGAGTCTTTGCAGCTTGTGTAACAGTCCTCAGCAACTCAGCATTTTGGCTGATCTACTTTATGTACATATAAACACACACGGAGCACTGCAACACGGCTCCCTCTCTCTCTAGCGTCAGACAGCAAAGAGAGAGAACAAAGGACAATAGTCCCACTTCACAGAACACAGTAACACAAACATCCTGTCTCCGTCACTTCCCACTTTGTGGAGTCAAAACATACACTGTCATGTGATAGACAAAAATCCTATGATGGCAATCATGGAGCAGAAATTCTGACACTGTCAACCTGTTCCTGTGAGTTCAGAATACATTTATGCTACCATCCAACGGGCAGTGAAAGCCTCAGCGTGGCCGTGCTTAGTGCGGTATGAAGCCTGCATATCACAAAGGAGGCCTTCTATTCTTAACCAATCGCATCGAGGAGCCAATTGGAGTGGGCGAAATCATGGTCTTTAGGATTGAAAGAAGGGGAATCCCAAGAGCGCATTGGGTTTTGAAAATTCATGAAAAACAAAACGGAGACGTCAAGTTCTTGACAAAGGGTGACAATAACGCTGCTGATGACCAAGGTTCGTACATGCAAGGTCAGCACTGGCTGGAGAAGAAAGGTGTAGTAGGACGAGCAAGAGGATTTGCGCCATGCATTGGAATAGTGACCATCCTTAAATTTAAGTACATTGTCCTCTTTCTACTGGAGTTGTTTCTGCTAGTGCATCATCAAAAGTAGCCTGCAACCCAGGGAGGCCAGCAGAAGATGCCTTTTAGTCTGAGTAGAAAGTGGCGTGTGATGTATGTACATTTCACGGTTTCTTAACCAAGTTTGGCTTTTGGCTTTTGGCTTTTGTTTTTCTACAGCCATGTAACAGGAGAGTTGATTCGTCACATTATAGTATTTTTGTATACCAGTGAATTTTCATATTAAAAGTTTTAAGCAAAAAAGAAAATACAGTTATGTTGAAATACTCTGGTGGGAGGAAGTGGCTACTTACATACCTAACCTGGTTACTAGGAAGCAGTTATACTGGACGAGAGCATGAGCCACTGCCTTGTGGGTGCTGATTTGAGTAAACCAATGGATAAAAGGATACGCAAAGGAACACGACCAACATGCCATGACTTCAGTCATGTAACATCCACGACAGAAAGTGTTTCTCTACTCATGGGCCTCTCTGCAGGCCAGGTGCAACTTATAGATCCTATTAAAAAGAAACTTGCAAATTATTTAATAAAGAAGTGAGGACTTATTCCAACAGACTTTGGGAACTGACTGCTTTTAATGAAAGGGCCAGTGCTGTGCTCTTTTTAGTGTAATTTTGTGTAGCTTTTTACTGGATCTTAAAAGTTTTTAATTCTATTGATGTTTAACAGTTTTTAATGATTAAAAAACGTTTTTAGCTTTTCTTATTTAATTTGTAAGCTGCCTTGAGCCCCTCTCAGGGAAAAAGGCAGGATATAAATGCAGTGATATTTTTCTAGAAAAAGAAGTGCCATAACTCATCATGAACGCATCCCTTGTTCTCTTGTAATGACTATGGCACCCACCTAAGAGGTGCCGTAACTGAGTTCTGGAGAGTTTCAGCTTAAAAAAGCCCTGGATAAATATATGATGATTGTGTTTAAGGCAGAGATGGGGAACCTGCAACCCTCCATATGTAGTTAGACTACAACTCTCATCATTCTTGACCATTGGCTATTCTTGCTGGGGCTGATGGGAATTGGAGTCCTAAAACACCTGGTGGGCCACAGGTTCTCTATTCCTGGGCTAAGGGGACAGTGGAGCCTACCTTTAATTGGTAGTAATTTATTTTAAGGAATTCTGGTGAGTGATTGTTTGCTGTGAATAAATAATCTAGAAAACATTAAATAATATAACATATTGGATGCTGTATTTTAATTCTCTGACATGAAGAAATTCACTTACCTTTTAAAGTAACAGCAGGCTACAGAGATACTGCAGCTTTCAAAGGCGTATGAAGTCAGCAAGAATACATTGTAGTAAGAAACATTTTGCCTTTTGTGTCAAACAGGAAATGTAAAGTTTATAGAATCAATTGTAAATCCATATCAATTTGACATGCTAACTGCATTTCCCCTAAGAATGGTTTAAATAGGTTTAATTTAAGTATATAATTACAGAATGCTATTACATTTCATTTTTTTCTGTGGCAGTATGGCAAAACAAATGCAATTTCTGCATTTACAGTTTTGCAAAATCCCTCAAGCTCCCTCATTCCTTAATGTTAGAAAATATAATTTAGTAAATTGGTAGATTTGTTTGTTGCTTGGTCTATTTTTACTTTTCTACTGAGGAGCCCAAAAATGAGGATAATAAGTTGAAACACAATTGATTTGAAACTTAATTAAGACAAAACAGAGTTACTTCCAGTAGATGGTTCAGTTGACAATGATGAAAGTGGTGGTATCTAGTTTGTTCTGGTTGGGACTGCAGTCCTTAAGAAATAGGTTTGCAGCTTGCAGGTGTTATTAGACCTGGCACTACATGGATACTGAAGTGGAGTCTGTGGTTCAGAGCAGTGTGATTGGTGCACAAGTCTGCAGTCTCTTCTCCAATAACAATCTTTCCAGAGTGATCCATTCCCTGATAACATCTGGCATGACCAGTCCAAGACATTTTGGCATCGGAGAACCCCAAAATTGGGCATACCTCCTTCCCACCAGGGAGGACAGGGCGAGTGAAGATTGAATTTAGGAACAAGGCAGGGGAGAAAGATTAACATAGGGATCTGCTGCACCCAGGGACCCTGCTGCCTGAGACAGTTGCCTCACGTGGCTGACCCTGACATCTGGGTTAGATTATAGTGGCATGTTATATGTGGGGTTGCTTCTGAAATAGCAACTGGTTCAGAATGTGGTGGCCAGGCTGCTAACTGGAATCTGCCATCCGAAATAAATTTTGCCAATGAAGTAAAGACCATAACCGACTCCCAGTTTATTTCCAAACACAATTCAAATTTCTTGAGTTAGCAGACCACTTGGAGCTGTTGGAAAATGCCCTGGGGTACCCCTTCAGCCCCCGAACTCCGAGCGTCCTCCAGTATGCGCAGCTCTGGAAAAGACATTTCCCTTCTTCTCCAGTGCGCTTCAGTGACATGTATCAAATGATATATGCACACTAATCTTCTAGCATAACACAGCAAGAAGCGGGAGACATCGTAGAGCAAATCTACGTATTTATTTACACGCTATGTACAGACAAAGGAAGCATAGTGTCTTCTCTCTCCAGCTCTGAGAGAAGAACAGGTCACAAGTAAAAGCAAAAGTACAGTACAATAAGTACATACAGCGGAAGAGATAAGGCTGTCTTCTGTTCCCATACTCTTCCCAGACAGGCATGTGATTTACACCAATCTCATCTGCATCATCAGAGGCGTGAAATACTAACAGGGGCTTTACAGTACAGATTATCTTGAGAAGTTGGATCCTGCTAACAGAGGGTCCATGTTGTGCTCGGCCCCTGAAACTCTTCCCCAACTGGATTGTGGGTGGGGCTTGCCCCGCTCCAAGCCGGTGGTGCCACAGTTATGCCAATGGCCTTTAGCCAATCAGCAGCATGGCAAGGTTGAGGGTTGGGGGTATCTATTTGGCAGCGTGACATAGGGACCTCCTTTTGTTTCACGCTGCCTAACACTCGCTCACCCACCCATTAATTAGGTCATGTTTGGCCTTGCTTTGGACTTCGGTTGGTCGCCTGTTTTGGAACAGGGATCGGGTAGGAATTTTTCCCAATGTGGCAGATTGGCTGTGGCCACTTGGTTTTTGCCTACCTCTTAGCAAACATCACAACTTTGTAAGGTTTGGTGGTTAGGCATTGGTTTAGGGGAATGTGGGGAGGGGAGGTGCAGCCATCACCTGCTCCTCCAATGAATAGGGTATTTCGTTAAAGGAGTCTGGGGGTCTGGATCTCATCCAAAGCCCGGGGAGGGGCTAGGGTCATGCAAGGACCCCTGGGACCCCAGGGGTGAGCACCAGTCAATATACACTGATGGAGATCCCCCTGCTGGTTGTTTACCCTTTCAGGCTTCCTGCACAGTGGGGCAGGAGCCAGATACTGTATAGTTTTGATACCAATGCCTAAGTCAATACCAGTCACATTTGTGTATTCAATAAAGTTGTGGCCAAAATTTGCCCATTAACATTTAAACTAAATTCTGTCTCCACTGTGTCTTTATTTCCACGAGGGATGGGTTTTGGGGCTGACTTCTAACATATAACTACCTTCTACCCATTTGTTTTGAGATATCAGCTCCATGTCTTTTGTCCTCAAAGTTTAGGACAGAATGCGTACCCGAAACATATCCAGCTTGTATCTACCTTGCTGTCTTCTAAGTGCCAGAATAACAGTGCAATCCTATTTATGTTTATTTACGTTTAGTGAGGGGAGATAAAACACACTGCCCTCATAAGATAGTTTACATACAGTTGTTGTTTTTTTAAAATGGTATCAATAGCAATATTTACAATGTAAGCACTAATTTGAAAATGTTAATTAAAAAACCAGGCCCCACTGCTACATTAGTGTCTCTTCTCTGTTTATGATGAGTTCAGTCTGCATAGATAAAATTGCCACTGAACATATGCATTTAACTGTGTACTAATTCACACAGCTGATTCAATATACACGACGTCTTAGAGCACATCCAAGCTTAACTTCCTTTGGAAAGGCATCCGAAAATGCGTGTGAGAGATGTGTGCAGCCTTAAGAACACAGATGTGTGAATTTAGGCATAGCTGATTAAACAGAAGTACCTGCTTGGCAGCTAAAATGAAGTTAATTGGAAATTCTCCTTTTGTGCCTACAGAAATGTATCTTCTGCCGACAAAGAATTAAGAAAATATCTGGCGCCTGCATCCAGTGTTCCTACGGACGTTGCCCAGCTTCTTTCCATGTTACATGTGCTCATGCCGCAGGAGTGCTGATGGAACCAGATGACTGGCCTTATGTTGTCTATATCACATGTTTCAGGCACAAAATCAGTCAAAATGTGGTAAGGATTTGCATAATTTAATTCCCGTATTATTTTTCCCCATTTTATTCCATGTTGTTGTTTCTGTGTTTTCAAAAACAAGAACACTGCTACTAGGCTGGACCAGGTTAAAAAGCTTGCTAGTTCCTGGCCGTCACAGAACATTGAGAAAATGCCAAGACTGTATGGACTGGGTTTGAAAGGCAATGAATGATAGTTGTGTGCACTGGTAAATTAATTTCATAGGAGGAGAGTTACTGTTTTAAATACTAAGCCCAGACAAGTCAGGGCTTTTTGCTCGGTGCTAAGCAAATGCATGCAGTTTGAGAAACTCTCTTCATTGTTTCATTATCTCATTATCCGGAGCTGAGCTCTGGCATTCAAAGCAAGTCTTGAGTCTGAGAAAGGCTTGGCTCGAATTAAATCCACACTATATCGCTTTAAACTGATGGACGCAGTCTTGCTCTGAGGTAGGATAAAATTAAGCTGTAGGATTCTACCATTCCTCCTTGTCTGGACACTACATACAGTGTAGAACCACATTCATAGCTTGTGGTCTGCTAAACCCCCTAGATCCCTTTTTACATGTACTGCCATCACGTCAAGTCTCTCCCATACTGTAGTCTCATCTGATTCTTCCTGCCTAAATGCGGAACTTCACATTTATCTCATTGAAATTCATGTTGTTAGCGCCCCATTCTCCATCCTGTCAAAATTATTTTTGAATCTGGTTTCTGTGTTTGCATGTATTAGCTACCCCACCCAGTTTGGTGTCATCTGCAGGTTTGATGAGCACCCCCCCACACACTTTCTGCCAAGTCATTTATAAAGAAGTTAAACAAGACTGGGCAAAGACCAGAACTCTGCAGCCCCCCATTGATCATTTCAACTACAGCTACAACTATCTTTATTACAGTCCAGAGACCCAACAAAACATTGCAAATCAATACAGAGTTCATACAGCCTACCTCCAGGTTAATCAAGCACTTTGTTTGGAATATAGGGCTCATTTGTTCTTGCAACCACTGATAAAAACTTTGCCACTGCCAACGTTCTAGCTTTTGTCCGGTCTTCCAGTAGGAACCTGACATAGTGAGCCTCTGACTTTCCCGGGAAAGGCACCAGCAAGGGTAGTATCAGTTCAGCCCTCGCCTGCTCATACTTCGCACAATGTAACAAAATATGATTTATGGAATCGATGTCTTGAGCACACAAGCAAAGTCTGTCCTGGTAGGGGACTCCTCTCAACCTACCATCCAGCACTGCAGAGGGGAAGACATTCAGTCTGGCTTTGGTGAAAAGCCTTCGATAGTTAGGTACTGTCAAGTTTTTGATGTAAGATGTTAACTCAAAGACATACCCATATTGAACTCCAGATCATTTCATATATACCAGGCATGTCCAACTGGTCAATTGCGATCTACTTGTCGACCATGGGGCATCCCTGGTCGATCCTGGTCGATTGTGTGATCCTGATGGACCCCCCCCAAAAAAAGTTCAACAACTCTGAACAATCCTCTCCCCCCAAAACTCAAAAACTTTGGTCAATCTAGTGGGTAGATCACTGTCATTTTTTTTATAGTGGGATTAGATCGCAGTCTCTTGGGAGTTGGATGTGCCTGATATATACAAATCACAGACTTCCTGATGACACCATCTGTGTAGCCAGTCATTCACTTGCACTGTATTTTTGTCTCTTCTGAGGACATGACCTTCAACAAGGAAGGAGTGATGAAAACACCACCTGTGTCCCAGTGTCCTTCACCTTTCTACTCAGAGTCTCAGCGATTTGCAGTAGGTTTAGTGCCATGCCTGCCATTGTTACTTGTTCCCACATGTTTCAGCAGCAAGGGATAAAAGTCAGTGGGTTTGACGAGACTTTATCATGTCAAAAGGGAACTATTTCAAAGCCAGTTTTTCTAAGGACTGTGAAGTTGACCTTCTTTCCAAGGGCTGAAGTGCCATAACATGTGTTATTTATCATAGGTCTTCCAGGACCTATATAATCACTATAAAAATAACAGAAAAGGTTAGCTTTCTGTCCTCATACATAGGAGGCAAGATAAAACTTTATAATACTTATTCATAGTATTTCATTTCCACACAGAAGGCCAAGATTACCTTTCTTCTTCATTGTGATTTGCTGTGGCTCATATTTTTATATGACTACCTTAGTTCATTCATCGCTCATCTTACACAAAAGAAACAGCGCTGTCCAAACCGCAGCTTGCACAGTAATCCAGAAAATGCCACAGATGTTTATCTAATCTAATTCAGTTCTTTGCATAACAGCTGTCCCTCTGATCAAAAATTGCGTTCTTTGCATCTATAAATTCTTAGGCTTCTGTGGTAGAAAATCTTTTTTGGAACATGTTTATCAATAACACTTTGTGTGAGATACATTTTTCCAGGAATGGGAAATCGACAACTCTTAACGCGCTCTCCACGTTGGGGTAAATTACTGTTTTCTGAACTTTTAATGGCATTTTAAAACAACAACAACAAACCCAAGCACAATCCACCAGCAGAGGACTACACACAGCATCTTTCGTCACCAGTGGCAGGGCAGCACTGACTTTCCAGGGCAAACATAGGTCCATGAAAAATGGGAGCAGATCCACAAATCCTTAAATGACTCACTAAGAGTCAAGTTTTGAGGCAGATGTCTAGAAGGGACAGTTGCTAACCTGGTGCCTTTCAGCTTTTTCTGGACTACAGCTTCCAGCCAGCACAGTGGGAGGGCATCAGGTTTGCGAAAGCTGCAGTGAGGCTGAAGGGCAGCTCAGCATCGGCTCATACCAAAACAATCAAATTATATTCACGATGAATTGGAGTAAGTGAACATTTCACCCATGAGAAGTTCTAGATTTAGGTTATTAAAACACACGCACATTTTTATTAGTTTTTATACAAATACAAGAACCATTAAACACTTACCCAGCAGTACATCTAATAGTGTTTGTTTTATCCATGGACTCTAGACATAAACTTACACATTCAACATTGAAACATATTAGATTCAGGTTTGAGGAGTCCCTTGGCAAAGCATCCTTTGGGGGTCCCTCTCCTTCATCATTGGGCCTTGCCAGGCTTACCTGGTGGTGGTAGTGTTCCAAACAGCAGTGGGCAGCTGGGTCTAGCTTTAGTTTTAATTTCATACCATGTCACAGAGCAATGCTATGCTAGGGACATTGCGGAAATGTAATGGTGGCTAGAACCAGTTGACTGGGGTACTGAGAATGCCAAGATGGGGTGAGGCAGGGCAGAGCAGAGTATCTACGTATGTGTTGAGGCCCTAGCAGCTGCCCAAGGATGCCCTGGCTACAAGTGTTACTGACCACTGCTGAATTCTGTACCACTTCTGCTTTTATTTCCTGATATATAGTTCATTATAACTTACCCCTTTCAATGCACAGGGCTGAGAAGTGAGAGGGGAACTTGGGATCTGTGGACATCAGGGGCCCTTGACTCTTCTTGGACTGCTTGCTCCATTTTTCGCCCGTACAGCAAGAGCCATTCTGGTTCCAAACCTGGTTAGGTGTGACCCCTGGTTAACCACTGCAGATACAATGCCTAGCTACCACGGTTTCATGCTGGCAGGAAGAGAATGGGGTCTTTGCATTTAAGTAGTACAGGGCAAGGTGTAGGTAATATTAATTTCTTCAAGGACACACCTATATATACAACCATAATTCCACAATCAACAATGGAGTATTGATAAAGGCCCATCTTTTTAAAATCAAATACTATGTATTGCAGTGTTAAAGCAATGAGACAGGGTTTAATCCATGTTTCAAAGTATTTTGATATATTCATCTTGTAGGTACTCACGATTTAGTTCTCCGAATGTATTGAATAGTTTGCTGCTCTCAAAGGTTACAATCATTAGGTAATAAAGGGCAGGTAATCAGTCTGCATATGTCACATTTTTTTTCAGCTAAGTAGATTTCTAATTTTGAAACATCTTCCTCTCTAAATCAGTTATACATTTGAACATTTCCTGTTTTCTCTACATTTTATTATCTGGCTATAGCCATAGGCTTTATTAATTTTGGCATATACAGTGGTACCTCAGGTTAAGTACTTAATTCGTTCCGGAGGTCCGTACTTAACCTGAAACAGTTCTTAACCTGAAGCACCACTTTAGCTAATGGGGCCTCCTGCTGCTGCCGCACTGCCGGAGCACGATTTCTGTTCTTATCCTGAAACAAAGTTCTTAACCTGAAGCACTATTTCTGGGTTAGCAGAGTCTGTAACCTGAAGCATATGTAACCTGAAGCGTATGTAACCTGAGGTACCACTGTACACAAAGTGAAATGTGCTACATGCAGTGTGTGGTACAAATTGGTGAGTGAGTTGATTTGTAGTTACCTGAAACACATTCCCCCTTCTTCGTCTTACCTTTCAACAGGTTATAAGTGCTGCAGTGCAAGCAGCAGAGAGAAAGGGAAGACGCTCTCTCCATTTATCTCCTTTCTCAGGCATTCCATGCACCGATTAGCAGCCTGCTGGGTGATGGAAACCAGTGGCTCATGAGAATGCATGAGACAGAGATCTCCTTGGCCTGGCACACTGCTACCCTGTGCCCCAGAGCAATGGAGAATGAAGCAATGCTAAAGCTGTTGTTTCTCACTGTATATATCATAAGGCCCTACCCAAATGTAGCAACTGGTTTGAAAATGTGATGAGCCCTTGGACATTTTTGTAATAGATACGAGCTTTCTTTAATCTACGCTTTATCTACTGGGAGCTGATACACTCATTTTGATTGCAAGTGGCGATTGCAGAAGCCTGTGTGGCACTGTGACACATGCTAATGATTCCATGCTTCTGAAACTGCAGGCAAAGCAGGTACCTGCATGCATCCTCAGGACCGCTGTGAGCCATGATTTTCATCTCCAGTTCTGCAAGCAAACAAATGTATATCTGTGCATAGGATTTTAGCAGCAGCAAAAAGATCTTTGGAGTTGTATGTGGCTTTCAGAGACACCTTAAGCAGAATGACTATAGCATTTTGACAGTCTGTCACTTCAATAGGATGCTGCTGCTGCTGCAACCATTTCTCTATTTAGTGTTGGTGGTAAAGGCGTCGGCAATACTGTTCTCAGGAGCTCTTTAGGGAATGCAAGAGGCATTGCTGAATGTGTGACTGGTAAGAAGGACTCGCCAAGCAAAGCCTCTTGCATTGTCTCCTTTCAGCCATGAAGGTGGCATTGACAGCCAGATGGAATGGATGACAGGTAGATGTGGAGGAAAGCAGTGGGGTGGGAGCTGGGACTTAGCAAGAGAAGGGAAGCAGCCAGGCCCATGCAGAAGGGGGGGGGGGAAGCCAGGCACATTTGCCCCGGGCCTCGGTGGGGCTAAGCCAGGGACCAGCTGCTTTTTTTGTTTGTTTGAGTTTATAACTTTATTCTAACAAGACTCCCGCCCAGGCTTCAGAAGTCGCTGCAACCTCTGCACAGACCTGGAAGCAGCTGCAGATTATTAGGAAGTGGGAAGAGAGTGAAAAATAAGCCAGATGGAATAGCAAAGCCACAGCTCTCTCTCACCCCATGTACATTTCATATGAGACCTGCTAAATTGATGGTCTGTTTACCAGCCCTCAATAAAACACTTGAAACAAGACAAATTATATTTTATCAATTTCAGTTAAAAGCTCACCTACAATGCATCACGTTTTCTGTGCAAGTTCTTGACTCTAGAAGCAAGCGGCTTGGGCTAAGGGAGATGTTTCTAAACAGTTGCTTTCTGACAGTTGTGGCTGTGGCAAAGAAGGCCTTCATTCATCTGTTTCTTTCATAAAATTTATACATCACTTGATTGTTAAAAAACAACAACCCTCAAAGCAGTTTAGAAAAGATAAAACAGTAAAATCAAGAAAAAATTGCAACCCTACTTTAAAGTACAGTGGTACCTCAGGTTAAGTACTTAATTCGTTCTGGAGGTCTGTTCTTAACCTGAAACTGTTCTTAACCTGAAGCACCACTTTAGCTAATGGGGCCTCCTGCTGCCGCTGCGCCACCCGATATCTGTTCTTATCCTGAAGCAAAGTTCTTAACCTGAAGCACTATTTCTGGGTTAGTGGAGTGTGTAACCTGAAGCGTATGTAACCCGAGGTACCACTGTTTAAAAAAGTTAAAATGCTAAAAGAGATTAATATTACTTCAACTTTCTAAGCACCTGGGTAGGCTTGTCTAAACAGAAATGTTTTTAGCAGGTACTAAGAAGAGTACAGTGAAGGTGCTTGATCTCAATAGACAGGGAGTTCCAAAGTTGTAAGTGCTGCCACACTGAACGATTTCATAAATGTGGAACTGGTATTATGTGGCACCTACAGCAGTGCCAAAGGGACGCGGGTAGCGCTGTGGGTTAAACCACAGAGCCTAGGACTTGCCGATCAAAAGGTCGGTGGTTCGAATCCCCACAATGGGGTGAGCTCCCGTTGCTCAGTCCCTGCTCCTGCCAACCTAGCAGTTCGAAAGCACGTCAAAGTGCAAGTAGATAAATAGGTACCGCTCCGGTGGGAAGGTAAACGGCGTTTCCATGCGCTGCTCTGGTTCGCCAGAAGCGGCTTAGTCATGCCGGCCACATGAACCGGAAGCTGTACGCCGGCTCCCTCGGCCAATAAAGTGAGATGAGCGCCACAACCCCAGAGTCGGCCACGACTGGACCTAACGGTCAGGGGTCCCTTTACCTTTACCTTACAGCAGTGCCAATTGAAGTGGTCATGTGGTCACATGTACGGTAAGGTGATCTCGTAGTTGTAAGCTGGTCTCAATTTTTAAAGGGATTTATATATCAATAGTAACACCTCAAACTTGGTCTGATAGCGAATCGGCAATCAGTTGAGATTTCTGAGCACAGGTCTTTCATGAGTCCTGGTCATCAGACACAAAGAATCCTTAGATGTACAGGACCCAGTGGATTGAAACGAGTGAGACAAATTTTGTGGCTGATATAACAATGTGTGTTTAATTCTTGCTTTCTAGAAAACCAAAGCCTTCGAGAAAACGGTCTCAGCCGGCCAAACTGTCATAGCGAAACACAGGAACACACGGTACTATAGCTGCAGAGTAAAAGAAGTTACATCTCAAGTTTTCTACGAAGTCATGTTTGATGACGGTTCCTTCAGCCGGGACACCTTCCCTGAAGACATTGTGGTAAGTATTTATTTTAAGAAACTGATTTTTATTTTTATTTTTGAAAGTTAAATAAGGAAAATTGAACAATTTCTTCTGACCTTTCAACAGGGATAATTAACTTAATATTCTGCTCGTGTTTGTTATTTCTTGCTGCAGAGAATTATTACTTTCTCAGGGGCTTCCCAACCTTGTTTGTTCTAATTAGTATCCACCATTTCGTCAAATGAATCAAAACTAATCTTCCAAAGTCTTTTAATTAAATAAGAAGTATGTTTTTAATAAAAGATATTAGAGTGGGAATTCCACATATTGTAATGTGTCTCTGAGAGATAATATTACAAAATTCCTTGATGAATTGAGAAAAAGCCCATGTTCAAATATGTAATAGGCAGAACGGTTCTCATGGATCTAGTATGATGACTTGTTTACATCTTGGATGTGTCTGTAAGATTCCATTGCCTAATGATACTAAATCAGAAGGGAAATGGCATTGTTTGCAACATTTCACAACATGCATTTCAGTGCATGTTTAAACCAACATTTTATTATAGCAATTAATCAGCGCTTCATGTTCTTATATGGTGCAGTAAATCCAGGGTGATTCTGCCTTTCCTTGCATGTAACACAACTTGCATGCACTCTGGTATTGTGGTTGGTCCCTTTGCACTCTTCTCATCCTGGGAGTGCTGCATCTTGGGCTGATGTCGGGCCTCCTGTCAAAATTCTTCAGGCTCCATTACATCAGTCAGACGCTGCCAGGATATGGCAGCAATACATTTATTCCTCAGGCAGGCCCTCTCCCTTTCTGTCCCTGGTGCTTCGGAAAAGAAAAAAAAAGTTGCAAAGCTGGCTTAGCATCTGGTTTCAGATGTTTAAAAATACTGAAAGGGTTTCTGAGCACAATTCAAAGTGTTGGTCCTGAACTTTAAAGCCCTAAACGGCCTCGGCCCTGTATACCTGAAAGGGCGTCTCCACCCCCATCGTTCAGCCCGAACACTGAGGTCCAGCTCTGAGGGCCTTGTGGCGGTTCCCTCACTGCGAGAAGTGAAGTTACAGGGAACCAAGCAGGAAGCCTTCTTGGTAGTGGCACATGCCTTGTGGAATGCCCTCCCACCAGATGTCAAACAAATAAACAACTACCAGACTTTTAGAAGACATCTGAAGGCAGCCCTGTTTAGGGAAGCTTTTAATATTTGATGGATTACTGTATTTTAATCTTTTGTTGGCAGCCTCCCAGAGTGGCTGGGGAAACTCAGCCAGATGGGCGGTGTATAAACAAACAAGCTATTATTATTATTATTATTATTATTATTATTATTATTAAGTGGACTTCAAACTCCTAAGGTATAACAGTCCTGAGAGCCAACTGTTGAACTCTTTAGCCAGTGCAGAGTATGTGATTTTGGGCCGTTGTTTTTGTAATATGCATGATTGATGAGTCATCATCTTGAATCTTGTACATTATCTGACAGTTGGGGTCTTTTGGATGGATTTGTATATAAACAATGCTTTTTTCAAATATCTGCTGTGATTTCAGGCCCACATTTTGGTTTGCTTGTGAAGTCTTCATGAGGTGTTAGAAGACTAGCCAGTAAAGATGTCTACCTCTCTTGCAGACCAGTCCTGTTTTGCTAATCTCCATGTCTATGTGTCATATTATCCTGGGAATCTCTCCTAGGTATCTTCTAGAGCAGGGGTGTCAAACTCAAATTCATCGGGGGCCGCATGAGCAGTTTGGTCACCTTCAAAGGGCCGGTTGTATCTATAGGACTCAATATGCGCTCAATATAAAAACAAGTGGAAGTTTCCTGAATGCATGTAAAATGGAGGTTTCCTGTGTAGAATGGCCGGCGCCGCTAGAGGGCAGATGTTCTCTGGCTTGTAGTCTGCCGCGCATGCGCTGAAGAGGCAGCTTTCTTGTGTCAAAAAAAAAAGGGAAAAAAAAGGCGAGAATAAAAGGTGAAGGCTGGCGGCTGGTGGCGGCTACACGGGCCACATGACGAGGTCTGGCGGGCCAGATTCAGACCGCGGGCCTTGTGTTAGACACCCGTTCTAGAGGAACTTCTGTCAGTTGTTTGTACACATTCTTGTGTAAGAGGCCTATGAGCTCCAACTACAATGAATAAAGATTGCACAGGTTTTATATGGTCAACTCGGGATTTGAGTTGTGAGTCTAGTGCCTACCTAATAAATGAAAAAGGCTGCAGAATTGTGCTCACATGGTGGGATTGACAGCAAAGAACTTCACATGTGGCGTTCAGTTTGTAGATAACAACTGTAGGAAAATTGAATGCTATTGACATTGAAGAACTATAAAGAGAATTAACTATTGGAGGCAGGAAGATTGATGAGACACAACGAAGAATGAAAGTGTTAGTTTGGCTCCACTGTCCTAATTTGGCAGACAGATAGTACTGTGGGATTAAAAAAAAAAGTATTGGTCATGTATTTTCCTTTGCTAATTGCAAATATAAAGCATAGAACATGGATAGCTGGAGCTGGATAGCTCAGTTGGTTAGAGCACGGTGCTGATAATGCCAAAGTTGCAGGTTCAATCCCCATAAGGGACAGCTGAATATTCCTGTATTGCAGAGGGTTGGACTAGATGATCCTCTGGTTCCCTTCCAGCTCTATGATACTATGATTCTATGCTGTAGGCAGGGAGAATCACAACACATTTTGTTCCCTGTACTGTCACTGGATAGAGCACAATGAAATTGGCCAAGGTGTTACGATCTTCAGGCTAGGTCAGTATGCTGCAAGCCTGCTATCACAAATGTCCGTCTTCTCTCACCTGTAGGTATGCATGCTGATCTCTGCTGTTGTCTTACAGTTGATTTCAGGAAGCAAAGCTGCCCTTCAAACATTATTAGCAGAGATTATACTGTTTTCCTTGCTAAGTCCTTACTTATAAAAAGGTCTAATACCTTTTTTGGAAGTATAACGCTCAAAGTGGGGCAGTTTCAAAGCAGTGTGTGATGGATTTAGCTGTTCACCTCTCACTGGTGATAAAGGAAGCCGTGCAGCTAAATTCCTGCTACGGCCCTTTGAAAAGCTACTTCTTTGTTTGGAATATTATAAAAAGCATCATTAATGATTGAGGATGCCTTGATTTAAGGAACATTGAGATATTACACATATGAGACTATGTTCCTTAGTGGAAGTCACCGTTTTCTTTCCACCTGCATCAAAGCTTGAGCTGTGGGAGAGAGGAAAACTGCTTACCACCCAAGTGGGGTGGTTTGATTTGGTGCTAAGAGGAAATGTAATCAGGCCTGGATATGCCTCAGTGCTTCTCAGATAGTAGAGGAACAACATATAATTGTTTGAAGCAAATGCCAAAGAACTTTCAGATTCCGTAGAGAAATCTTTGTGTGTTTTCATTAGATAATATACCTGTAGCATCAGTAACAGGAAGGATTCCTCCCCCCCAAAAAAACCTGCCTTCCTAATCCATGCAATGTGCATATCAGGTGTTAGTGCCACTGGGAGGACTTATTCATCAAATTTTGTGCGACGGCAATGTTGCTGCCTATTGAAGAAGCTATTTCTCTAATCTGTTTCCCTGTTCAGCTAGCTCACAAAGATAGCAAAAGCTTTCTGCTTTACGTGTTCAAGCCACTGCACAATTTCCGTTCAGTTCACAATTGCATTTATGGGAGACAAGCCACCATTTCGTGTCTGTACAGCCTCTGGTAAGATTGCTTGCAAGGAGAAAGAAGGGGTTTTGAAGAAACTGCAGCCTCCCCCCCCCCCCAATTTTCAGTTCCTTGGTTCATACAGGTCAGGGAAGACACTGTCTTTGTTTCTACTGCATGTTTTGAAATTTACAGCAACGTTTACCAAATCCAACAGTCCAACTATGTTAAGCATACCTATTCAAATCAATGAGAATGAATGCGTCTCCAGCTTTCCCTAAGTTATTTTTAACTTGAGGAAGTATGAATAGTATTTTGGTGGTTTTCCAGTCATCCCTGCAGAGGAAGAAACTTGACCAGAAAAAAAAATCAGATGTGGATTGTGTGTGTGAATTCCTCTAGTTCTCAGCCGCTATATCCAAGACCAGAATAGTTTGCCCTTGTAGATTAGATCCTGAATTCTGTACATACAGTTCTGAACATTACTCCCTAATATTTTCGGAAGAGAAGCATGTAGCAATAACTTTATCCTGTAGTCTGTCCTCACATGCCCCAGTGGCTTGGACACTGACACACAGAGAGAGGGGTCAGCTGTGCCAATAGCACCAGCCCTGACACAGCCTGAGTTGAGCAGCCTCGAGCCATCTGAATATGGGTCCCCCAACCTGGAGTCCCAGAGATTGCATCTCCTGAGCCAGATCCCTCCCCCACCCCATGGAACCAATACCCCCTATTCCAAGAGCCAGAAATAATGAAATATCAAGGAGTGTTGAACTCGAGGGCTGCTACTTTAAGAATCTCCATTGTCCATCAAAAGGAAAGGACCTAGGAGAGGTAGGCCCAGTAGCTATAAAGGGGCTCAGTTTGAACTCATTGCCTGTTGCAACATGTAGTCTCTTCCCTAGGACATGTCTCTGACAGCTTTGGCTAAGTCCTAACTCCTAATCTCTGAGTAAATACTGCCCCTGCTTGCCAGTCATCTGCTCTGGTTGCCTGCTTCAGAATGCTGCCTGACCCACTTCCTCCAGACACACTGTGGTTTTTTCCATGCCAGGACTGAACACAGGTCCTGGCAGTATTCTGAAGGTGCGCACCGACCCCTCTCGCTCTCCAGGCTTCAGGCAGCTAGCCGCAAGCCTTCAGAGTGTGGTGGGAGTTCCCGCCGGGCTCCGAAGGCTTGCGGATAGCAGCCTGCAGCCTGAAGCCCGGGGAGCGCAACCTCGCCTTCTCTTCCGGACGCAACCTCACCTCTGCTCCTGGACCCGTTCTGGGGGCTGGGGTCAGGGGAAGCTCAGGCTTCCCCCGCCCCAGCCCCGCGGCTAAGAACGAAGCCAAGACAGCTAGTGAGATCCATCCCGCTCGCTGTCTTGGCTTCTTTGC